GGGGGGGGGAGGTTAGTACAGCAGTTTGAGGAGTCATCGGGAGTTTGACTTCAGTGGTTCGACCCAGAGAGTTGACTCAACGGTTATCTTTTGGCTGCCATTGCGGGGCCCTCAGGCGAATCGAGAAATCAAGGCCCTCTCCTGCGAGTCTGAGTGCACCTCTCTTCGATCGGAGAGACTCAAACTTCCTCCTTCTTCCCTTCTTACTCTAAGTCTAGTCTAGTCCTGAGAGGAAGGCGGCAGGTGGGATTGCAACCCGTAGGACCGCAGCAAGACTCTATGGGGAGTCATCCCACTGATTGCGGGAGCTCTGCCGGGACTTAGGAGGAGTTCTAGAGGCAGGGAACTGAGAGGTAACAATTGCTCCTCTTCTATATGCCCTGGTACAGCCCCTATCTGTACATCTAGCTATGGTTGATTGAGTATACTGTATGCACCCCTATTTTGACTTTGGATTGACTGGCAGAACACAAGTCAGACTAAATAAAGGAGTGTGTGTGCAATCACAGTTTCAGTTTGTTGATTGCCTGAAGGCAGATTGTGAACATAAGGGGTTGCATCTCGGAGAAGGGTAGGTGAAAGGTGGTTTTGCCTGAGGCTGACAGGGTCCTATGGGGTCAGACCAGTTCCATAAGATTGGACGGCCTGACCGCTGTGTTTATTTTTGAATTGCATGGAAGGTCAGACCAGTTCCATAAGATTGGACGGTCTGATTGCTCTGAATTGTGAGGGTTTGACTGTGGCTGACTTTTCCGGGGTCAAACCTGTACCATAGGATTGGACGGTTTGGTTGTCATGTTTGATTGGGGTTTGTTCTGTTTCTTTTGGTTTTTTATTGAGGAGGTCTGAGCAAGTCCATAAGATTGGACGGCTCAGCCCCTTCCTGTTTCATTCTGAGGGAGTAATTATCGCTGAGGGCAGGGCATGTCCATAAGATTGGACGACCTTGGACTCATGCCGCACGCAGTGGATCAGAGAGAAAGGAACCTGGCAGAGGACCAGATATGTTCCATAAGATTGGACGGTCTGGCCCAAAGCCTCGCACATGTTGGAACCCAAAAGGTTAAATTTTGACTATATTTTATACTATCCTATTTATGAACAGGCTAGTCAGGCATGGGTTCCATAAGATTGGACGGTCTGGCTATAACTTATCATGAAATAAAAAGTATAATTGAAGGTAACCCTAGGCAGGCTAGGCCTTGTTCTAAGATGAACGGTTCAGTCTTATGCCAAACTTTTGAACACCAAGCTCAGAGAGGTATATATAACTTGGATATTAAACAGTTCACGGCGGCTGAGCCTTGTTCTAAGATGAACGGCTTGGTCATATGCCCCAAAAGGAAGAGAGAAGTAGTTATGCAACCTGTTCGTGTATAATCAATGGCTGAGTCAGGCAGGTCCATAAGATTGGACGGCTTGACTTTATGCCCTATGTAGGCTGGGTATAAGGGAATAAAGCATCGAGAGATTACGAACTATTGTTTGCAAAGTTTGACTTGGGGTGGCGAGAGTACTTACCTTTGTGGTTTGGCCTGCATGTGACTAAGTGAGGCTACTACTTGGTGCGAGTTTTAGCTTGACAGGTAGTTCCTGTAGTTGCTCGCCACGTGCTAGAGCGAGAGGAGTTAGTTCAATTCCTGCATTTTCTGGGCAAAGTTTTTTTTACTTAGATCGACTCTTGTATTTTCTGAGGTCTTTTATTGTACTTGGGTTTGTATAAATTTTGGTAAGCGACTTTCTCTACAGGAAGCGCTGCCGAAATTTTAGCAAATCCAAGGAGTTAGTCAAAATCTTGACTTTTCAGAGTTCAGTTTGTCTAAAGTTCATTTACGACTTAGTAAAAATCTGAAAGGTCTCCCTTTCTAAAGGGAGTGCTGCCCAAATTTTTACTAAATTGGGGAGTTAGACAAAGTTGGGCTTTGGGAAGTCAAAGATTATTCTGGTTCTATATTCAGGCTGATACAAATTCTGAAAAGACACTTTTCCTATGGGAAGCGCTGCCAAAATTTTCTTAATTTAGAGGAGATAGATTATATTCTGAGGGGGGGCGATTCTGGCGATCCACCCTGAATAGGGGAGATTCTGCCATTAACCTACTCTTGCTTTGGGCATTGCTTGAGGATAGATATAGGCTTAGTTAACTAGGATGACTTGGGTGAGATCATGATTTGGGGATTGGTCTATGTGAACTTATAGATTTAGCGGTGGGTGTCAACCTGTCTTGTGTCACAGGCCATTTTGATCGACTTGATTCTGGACGTGGGCTAGTTTCGGTTGATCCTATAAGAATCGTCTTGTGTTATTATTGATAACAGGTCGGTTGCCGATTCGTCGGTCTTCGACTCAATTCTGACTCACTCTCCGTACTCAACCTAAAAGGATTTAGCCCTGGTGGTTTTACTGTTTGTTAAGGGTTTCACCCGGATTTTTATTGAATGGCCATTTAACAAGGGTACTGAGTATTTAATTGAGGTTGGTTGGAAAGGCGGTTGGGGCTTGCATGGCTAAAGCGAAGGGGTATGAGCATAGAGGATGGTTGAGGTTGACTCCGTGTAGGGTGTGTTTTGTCGTTCGGTTCTTGGTGTGATTGCAGGTATGTCCTGTGGCTCAAATTTTGGATTTGGATTGTCTGCGATCCCATATACATATACGTGGTTGTGAGGGGTCCCACTGTGCCTATCAGAAGTGATCGTCGCAACTCTATATCCTTTGTGCGTGTATGCGTAGGTGTGCGTATGATGGATATCTAAGAGGCCTAAGAGACACATGTTAAGAACCCGCTTAAGGATTGAGGTCGAGGGGTAGGAAAAACCCTTGCGCCTGCCTATTTGCGTCTTGAGGCTTTCTTAGTCGGAAGTTGATCCTGGGCCGGGATTCAAGGTCCTTGTCGAAGACATCCCAAACCCTAGGCTCTGCAGGGGAGGAGTTTCCCCTTGCACAGAGCCTATTTACTTCGGCCGGCGGGACACTCCACCTTGAAGGCGGAAATGTCGTGAGGTCTGAACAGCGTGTCCTTCAGCCATTCAATATCGTGAGGGGTGACCCCTCGCGATGTGTTCCTTCAGCCATTCAATATCGCGAGGCCGGAGCCACGATTACCACGTATGATGGGCATCGGTGGTTGGCATAGAGTTGGTCTGCGGCCGCGCAGCTTTATGTTAGAATCCCGCCTGCGACGTTTCGCCGGCCCATTGTCTAAAGGTTATGAGACTGGCGGGCTTGCACGTAGGCGCAGCGCTTGGGATTATTGTAGGTCGCCGGCACCACTCATAGAGGGGAAGGGTGGGCTAAGGTCACGAGTCATTTTAAAGCTAGGGGACCTTTGCCCTATTCCCTCTTCTTGGTGTCGTGCGTATTTTGTCTGCTTTTTAGAGATTTTTATGGTTGGACGTTGTAATCCGTGGCAGCCGTCAAAGTCAAATCCCTTGACTTTCGCCCAGGCCAGGGGAAGACTTACCCCCGGGGTTGTGAGAGACGACTACCACCACAGGCATGGATCTGTGTACCATCCACTCTGCATAAGGGTGTAGAAGAGGGTGTGTGGTCTTCAACTGCGCATGGCGGTTGTCTCGCATCGAGAGATTAACCCTCAAGGCGCGTGTCAACTGACACTTGAGTGTCGAACGCAACCCTCGAGATTAACGAAGGCCGCGCGAGTGTGGGTACCACATAGTACGCCATCATCGCGACTGCTTGCGTACGCTCGCATGGCGAGTCGATATGAGTAGGCCCTGCATCCGCGCAGTTTTATATTAAGTCTTACATGCAACGCTTGTCCGATTTTCCGTAGTGGAAAGTTATGGGACGGCTACTAAGGGACTACGAGTGTTGTCGCGTTGTTCGATGTGTGTGTGTGTGTATTTTTTTTTTGTGTTCGTAGAGTGGTGTGCGCGTGGTGTGTGGGATGCGTCCTAGTCGACCGACGACGAATCGCACTTGGGACCTCAGCCCCCCAAGATGTCAGTTCGCGTGCGGGTTCGATAGGCGTATTACCGCGCGTACCCCCTATGCTACAGCAAACGAGAAACGCCCTCGGCTGGTCCACCTCTGCGATTGCAACCGAGTAGCTTTCGTACTGTGGACTAGTAGCTCGGCGGGGATACACCCACCGAAGGGAGGTGACAACTCTCGTATGGTGGAGGTAAGTTGTGCCTCGCGTAGGCCCTATCCTGTCGTAGGGGCTCGCGAGAGGTATGGCTGGCGCACTCGGCCGGAGCGGCCTAAGGAAGCTCCATGTGTGTGTTCGTGTCGAGGTTGGTCCAACTCCTGCGTGACGCGGCCGAGAGGGTCCTGCGCTGCCACGTGCGGTGCCGGACCGATGCGCTCGACAGGTGGCGCCGTTGCTGGAGATAACGGAAGCCTACCGTTGTCCCTGGTGGAACGACATCCGGGTATGGGAATGAGGGAGAATCAAGCACATGGGTAGATAAGGGTAGAACTATGAGATGGACCGTATAGTAATTTATATGACTGTGTGTAAACGAATGTCGATTTGATTGGTGGTTTGGCTGATGGCGTGGACGAGGCGAATATGTGAGCAAATTTTATGGCGAGAATGGATCTTACTTAGGTAAGCCTAAAGAAGATAGAAAAAGAAATGTTTGCCAGGTCTAGATCGTCAGGTGTTTAAGTGGTTAGCCCGATAGGATCGTGATGGATAGGACTGCTGAATGAAACTTTTTGTCTTATCGTCTCTTATAACAGGGGGGTTGAAGCCAAAGGCGGTCAATCCAAATGCCTGAGGGAATGGCGGACGGTGGGAAAAGGCTCGTAACGCTCGACGACCTCATCGATGCCTTGGACAAGCGCGAGAAAGCGCCGAGTAATGTTCCGAAGGTTGACACTTTCCACTTCAAGGGGGAACGGGTATCCGACTGGATCTGACGGAGCAGGCACTGGTAGGGTTGTCGGATGAGGTCAAGCTCGAGCGAGTCCTAAGATATGTCCTCCATAGTCATCATCAGGAGGTGGGTAAGGTCGTCGATGCCGCCAACGGTAGTTGGGCGAGGTTCAGGGACATGATGCAGAGAAAGTACAGGTTGGGAGATGGCTTGCTGACCATGGCAGACTTGGAGGCCATGAACAAAGACGACTTCTCCACGATTGGGGCATTTGTGCACGAGTTTAAAAGGAAGGCGAGGAAGGTGCACGGGATCTCCGAAGAAATGCAGTGTGCCATATTCTTAGGTCTGCTTACTGGCTTGGAGGCCTCGGAGATGACAGGTCACAGAGGGGGGAATGAGAAACTCACTTGGGCCACTATCGACAAAGGGGTGGAAGAGGGGAGCCTGGACCAGGTGGAGCAGCACCAGGTGCGGCCGCAAAGGCGCAAGAGAAAGGAAAGGGACGCCACAACATCCGGGACCCCGGGGGTGAAGAGGATCGTCATGGACGTATTGGCAGCGCTGGGGTATGACAATGAGGCGGAAGTGCAAAAGAGGGGGGTGGCCGTGGCCCAAGGCCCGACATCAGGGGCAGTGGAGGAAGAGGCTAGGCGCGAGGACTATGACGGAGAAGAGACGGGTTCCCAGATCCTGACCAAGGCCCAGAGGAAGCAGCGAAATTTACAAGTGGGGGGTCAAGGATCAAGAAAAGGGCAGGCCCCGCAAGCGGTGGCCTCGCCACCCCCTGCCGCCACGACAACGTCAGCGACGGCCGGGCCGTCATGCATGGGGCCGCCGCCGGCTTGTGGGCATTGGATGCCGCATTGTCAGCACGCACCCTGGCCCAGCTGTAATCACTGTACCTCCTGTGGAGGGAGCCAGACCCATTCCGGGCAGATGGTCCCCTATGCGGGCCCGACGGCAAGTATGGGGCCCCCAAGCTACCCCGTGAACCAAGGTCAGTTTGTGGCCCAACCGCCACCCTCTCAACAGGCCTCGCAAGCTAGCGTGGTCGGGGGAGGAAACCAAGGACAAGGCGGGCAAGGCAATGGAGGCCGAGGTCAAGGGGGTCGGGGAGGTGGCGCACGAGGCCGAGGAGGAAATGGTGGGGATCGCGGGGATGGTTGGAATGGGCAAGGGGGTCAGAACCTAGGTGGCCGAGGTGGCCAGGAGGGGGGCCAAGGATATGGGAGGCCCTGCTTTGATTGGCGAAACGCCACCTGCTGGCATTGTGGCGAAGTGAACCACACTATACGGTTCTGCCAACGACGGCGAGACGATGAGTTGGCAGGGTTGATTTCCTCTTGCATGGACGGGGACATATATGATAAGTGGGGGGAGCATATTGACCCTAGGACCCCGGGAGGAATTAGGCAAGAGGCACTTAGGCGAGCGGCGGCAGGGCCATCGGCACCCCCGACCATGTTCAGGATGTGGCAGGAAAGAGAGGAGCCGGCCATAAGAGTTGAGGAGATTGTGGGAGATAGTGAATAGGTCACTCAGCGACTAAAGGCGGGGACTATAAGGGAGAAGCCAATAGTCGTCGAGTCGGATGATGAGGGGCAGGAAGACGAAGGAGAGTCGTCCATAGTCCTCCTGGGGAGGATGGAAGATCTGCTGGAAAAGGTGGGGAGATACCAACGGAAACTGCAGACCCTGTGTGAGGCAGCTTGAGAGTGGGAGGCCAACCTGCCTGAGGTCTTCCTTTACGATTCCGGGTCGGAGCCTTCGTCAGGGCAGCAGGGGTGCCCAAGAGTGGCGACCGTAGGGACAGGCCCTAGGTCGGGTATGACCTATAGACCCCCCACGTCGCATGGGAGGGTGCCACAGGCGGCTCGGACCAGGAGCCAAAATAAGGTCGGACCCAGCCAAGAACCCAGTCAGGCGCCAGGTCAAGCACCCCCTCGGAAGGAGCCTGAGCCAGGACGTAGGAAGGAGGTGGTGGAGGTCACGGAGAAAGAGGATGAGGATGATGACGAAGAGGATGAGAGGCTCCAGCAAGAGGAGGATCAGCGGGCGGAGCTGAGGGCCAAAAAGAGAGGAGCCCGGGAGGAGGCCGAGCCAAGCGTGCCTAAGCGGAAGAAATACGCGGTCCGGATGGAGGAAGACTTTGATGTGGAGCGGATGGTGGACGAGCTCCTGGAAGGCCACAATGACTTGATGAACCTAAAAGACATCCTGGCGTCGGCGCCAAGGCTCCGTGGTGAGTTGAAGGGGCGACTCTCGCGAAGGCTGGTGCCAAATGTCCATCTGAGTACAGTCCTGCCCAGGAAGGTGGAGTGGACTGAGGCGGGGACAAGGATGGATTGGAAATGTGTGGCGTGCGGGCAGGTGGATCTAGTGATAAAGAACCAGAAATGGACTGGGATGGTGGACATGGGCGCAGAGATGAACATCATCAGGGAGAAGGAGGCAGTGATGATAGGCATGGAGATCGACCGCTCGGACCATGGCATGCTGCACGACGCTAATTGCAAGGCCGCTGTCGGCCCGAATACCCTTACAAGGGTATTTGGGCACATTTTTGCAGCTTACAAGAAGAGCGTGCCTGGCGATATCTGCGGGCGCGTCCCATCTGTGTTGATTAGAGGGTATGTGAGCGTGCACTTTGTAGGCGCACGTTAGCTTGACCGAGTCTGGGTCGAGGGGGGCCGTGCGACACCGGTAGGACAAGTGAGTGTTACACTAGAGGTTCTGAGGCGGTCGCAGACTCACACACACGGTCAGAATGCAGGACGACGTGAAGATTGACCAGGTAAGGCGGTGACTGAGAGGAAAGCGTTGTCCAACTTACTGGGAACCGACGGTTCAGGGCTGCACCGTGTAAAAATTCGCAGGCTTTTGGTTGACCATGCGCTACCGACAGTAGAGGCCGTGGTGGGCCTTAGCCAGGAGGGCGCGGGTCGGAGGCACGGGGAGTAGAAATCGGGGCGGCTTCGGCCCAAAGGTGGTAGAACGGGCAATTCCTTGATGAATGTGAGGGAGTGGGAGAGCCCGGCCATAGCCGCAGCATGATGCGGCAACGCGCACGGCGAGCCTAGCAAGGTCGTGTCCTCCAAGGTAATACATGGGTGCTCGTGGGTCCTTGGACGCAAGCGGTAAGGTAGAGAAATGGCCTGAAGTACTGTTTGCAGGCCTGAAGGGGCTGCCCTTACTTTTTATGAGTAGGACTGCGCCTGCTACCTCCAAGCTGGGGCTTAGCCCTATAGGTTATAGCACTGACCTTTCACCAGGCAGATCCTGGGATCAAGGCCAGAGCGGAGCAGCGGAGCAGAGGAGGAGCACAGAAGGGCCGAAGGGTTGAGGGTCCTGTGGGACATTCCCTTTTGGTTTTGTTAGGGGAGTCCAGCCACGGGCCCTTGAGGGTAGGACCAGGGGCAAACGGTCCCCCTCCCCCGTCCGTTTTCATTTTTCTCTATTTTTGTCTGGGGTTTAAAACCTTTTTTATTTATATATATATATATATATTTACCTTTTATTTATTTATTTATTTATTTTTTTGATAAAACCGGGACCTGCAGTAAGCCCAGCGGCTTAGTTCGGTCACGAACTGCCCAGGGGGCAGGGCTACTACCAGGCAGTCCTTCGGGACATCCGTTGACATTGGAACAATACAGCGAAGACTAGCAGGGCGCCTGCGCACGGTAGGTATAAAGTCGGGAGGGGGGCAGCCCGACACTTTGCTGTTACCCTGGCACATGGTGGGCTCCTCACGTCTGATATCGATCGGAAGGGCACTAACCACTCAATGATTTTGTTCGTCTTCCTTACATCAGGCCTTCGCCCACTCTCATTGCAGACAAAGCCTAAAATTGTGGCCTCCCTCATACAATGTTTCGACTTGGGGCCGCTCGCCGTCACGTTATGTTCCTCCAATAAACCCAGGACCTGATCGATGTCCTGGACATGCTTCCAGACGAAGCGCCTCACTCCAGGCATTACTTCGTCTTCCTCCTTCTCCTTTGGACCTTTAACCGCCGGGTCATCGATGTAGGGTTGGGTGATATGTTGACTAACCGTTTGCATGGCTTTAATCATGTGTCTTTGCACCATCGCCACCGCATTTGTCCAACCTTGAGGTGCCACGTTCATATGGATCAGCCCTCTGGGTGTGTGCATTGCCGTTACGGGCCTGTCTGGCGGGTATACGGGGAATTGGTCGTACACAGAGTAGAGGTCTATAAGCGAGATTATAGGCCTCCCTGTGCACGACTCTGACAATGCGTCCGCATTCGGCAACCCCCCCGCATCCCGCACTGTCACGACATTTAACCGTTGTAAGTCCTGCACCCATCACAACGTTCCATTTGGCTTGATAAAGCAGAACCAGGGCGACGCATACGGCCCGCTGGAGTAATCGGCGACGTGCGTGCGCATCTTGCCATCCAAGTAGTCCACCACTATCTTCTCTTCGTCCGGATTAGGGTACCGTGCGCCCTTTAGATTCCATGGCTCGTGTGGGACCATGTGGATCCGGATCATCGGAATCTTGTCCACATCCAGCCTCCCACGCTCGTCGTCATTGAACGCATACGCGCGGTGCCTTTTCTTCATCAGCCCCACCATCAAAGCTCTCTCCTGGGGCGACAGGAAGTCGGGCTCCCCGATTATCAGCTTCCCCTCATTCTCGTCGTTGATACGGCACGGCCCGACCAACGCGTGCTCCCGCATACGTCGTATCAACCCCCGCTCCCGCTCGTAGTAGGCTTCCTCATCCTCTGTGACGAGCACGGGAACTGGGCGACACTTCTTATCTACGGTCTTGTACCGCCTTTGGGAGCCCTGCTTAAGCCCTCCCCTAAAAAAAGCGGGTCTGGGCCATTGCAGAGCCTCCCCTCCCTCCTGGAAGCCGATACACCAATTTCACCTCTCCTACCTGAGGGTTTTCCAAAACCTGCTCCCTCAACGCCTTAATGGCCTCCGGATCCGCCATGTCGTGAGCCGACACCACCTCCATGGCCTTGTTCACATCCGTGAGGCTCAGCGTCAATACCTCAGCCCTATCTTCCTCCTCGGGCACTTCCCAAAGCCGTCTCCGCTCGTTCTCCGATTCCTCAAAGGTGAACGAGCCGAGATTGGGCCTATTCCTTCCACTCCCCGGCCCCGTGTTTCGACAAGTAATCACTTCATAATTCCCGCACGCAAGGTCGCATAGGAGCAGGATCATTGTTCCGTCGTGTTTGTTGAAGATCAACATTTCTGTTCGACACAAAAACGACCTCCCCAGAAGGATGGGATGATCGACATCGGACATGACGAAGAAGAAAGTCCTGGCTCGCACCTTCCCAATCTCTATAATCACGTTAGACGCTGTGCTGCAAAAAGCGGTGTCGAGCGCATCGGTCCCGCACGGGGACCCTCCCGGCCACGTCACGCAGGATTATGCAGGACTTGTTGCGGAGAGCGTTTGCCGCTCCGGCCGATTGCGCCAGCCGTACCTCTCACGAGCCCCTACGACAGGACAGAGTCACGCGAGGCACCGCTACCTCCACCTGCGGGAGCTGTCACCATCCCTTAGGTGGGCGTATCCCTGCCGAGCTACTGAACCACATGCGAAAGCTTTTCGTATGCAATTGCAGAGGTGGCCCAGCCAAGGGCATTTCTCGTTCGCTGTAGCATAGAGGGTTACGCGCGGTCGAACGCCCAAAGATCGAACCAATACGCGCATCGTCATACTGGTGGCTGAAATCCCAAATGCGACTCGGCGTCGGTCGACTAGGACGCACTACTCTCACCACGTGCTACACCACGATACTCATACTTACCCACTCATAACATACAGAAACACACAGAGCGGACGCCACAAACAACGCCACGACACCACAACTCCTAGTCCCTTCAGTATCCGACCCATACTCTTACGCAACAGAACCAGATAGGCGACGCGCGCTGGGTTTCCGTATAAGAGTCGAGCGAGCGCATGGCCTACTCATGATAACCAGCCATGCGGGCATTCGCAAGCATTCGCGATGGTGGGGTACTTTGGTGTACTCGTAGTCTTGCGGCCTTTGCTAACTTCGAGGGTTGCCCCAAAGGGTGTGGGGTAAGACGGCCCCCAGGGCAGGAAGGGAATTGGAGTGGTGGTGAGTTGTCTGGCGCACCACCGGCAACACGCTAACCCTTCCGCCCGGAGCTCTATCGTCCCACAAAAATAAACCCTAACAAGGAAAGAATACAAATACTCTCAATATTATCAGAGAGGACGTCGTCAGGATTAGCCCTGTAGGGGTTCCCCGAACGCACGCCTACCTAGCTCATCACCTCAACAGAACAAGGATAGAACACTCTTACTCAAACACAAAGGTTGCGAGGTAGTTCACTCTCACGACAGTTGTGTGGTTTGCCCATCTGAGTCCACGCAATACCACTCAGCATGCATCAATCGAGACTCTTCCATACATACCTGCAATCACATCACATTATCAAACAAAGATCCACGCACTACACGGGGTCAACTCCAATCAACCTCTCCACTCATACCCTTCGCTTTAGCCAGACAAGCCCCAACCGCCAGCCAACCAACCATAATTAAGTACACCGTACTTCTGTTAAATGGCCATTCAATAAAAGTCTGGGTGAAACCTTAACAAAACGGATTAAATCACCAGGGCTAAAGCCTCTTTGGGCTGAGTATTGAGGGTGAATTGGGGTAAAGTCGTAGACTGACGAATCGGCAACCGACCTGTTATCAGTGATAACAAAGGAATAATCTCTCTGAAGGAATAGCCTGATCAGATCAGGCTCTCAAGTGATAGCACAGCAACCTGCATCACAGTATAGGCCAACGAAGAGTACTGCTTACGTCTGTGCCAAGGGGAGATCATTCCCCTTAGTCGTACTCTAGCTCCTCTACTAGTACCAATCAGTTGAACACCTCCTCTAATCAGTTAGGATCTGCTAAGTAACTCCTAACTAAAAAATATTCAAACTCCCAAAATTTTATGAAATTTCGGCAGCGCTTCCCGTAGGAAAAGTGTCTTTTCAGAATTTCTAAGAGCCAAAAAATGACTAACTTTTTCAGATTTGTAAAAATTTCGGCAGCACTTCCCGTAGGAACAGGAGGCTGCCAAGATTTATACAAAGCTGAAAAAGCAGAAAGACAATGCAACTATACTTGGGATTAACTTCTGACACCTGCTTGATGATCCAGACTCAATGACAGCCAACACGACCTCTAGATGAGACCGTGGGCTAGCATTGTGCCTAACCCCTAGCAGGGCCAGTCCTATCCTCATCCCAAGTTTTCCCTCCCAACATCCACCTGACCTACCTATGGCTCCAGCACTTGGCGAGCATCTAAAGCAACTAACCTATCGAAAAAACGCCCCAAGTGAAACCCTACAATCATACATGAGCATGCATCTCTCACAGTCCCACATACATTTGCCCAGGTAGTTCGTTAAATCACTCAGTTTTCTCCCTTTCAATAACCCCCTCACTTATGGCATAGGATCAGACAAGGCCCTAACTTAAGGGTATGTCCAACCTGCCTAAGTAAACAAGTAAAGGTATGCACAACTGGGCTACCCTAACGTAAGGGTATGCCCAACTCTAGATAAACTTTAGTCATAAAGCATATAACCAGACCGCCCTAACTTAAGGGTACGCCCGGCTTCTGCTTGAACCGACGACATCAAGCGTAGAGCTAGACTGCCCTAACTTAAGGGTATGCCTAGCCAGCTTTACAAAA